AAGGAGTTTATCTTGCGTGCTGCACAATATCGTTTATTATTTAGTATCTACTGATATCTACTGCTAGCTAGTTTATTGTGATGGTGCTGTTTTTTTTATTATGTTGCTCTTTGTTGTTTGCTTTCTCTTCTGTTTTTTTTCTCCATACAGGTGACCCAGGTGTTTTGTTTGTTTTTTTTTTTTTTCTTTCTTCCCCCCCTTCTCACCGTCTCTTCTCCCCTTTGGTTTTCTTTCTCTCCCTCTCTTTCTTTCATTCTTTCTCCCTGTCCTATCCCCCAGTCATGTCTGTCCCGTTTGTAGCAACTGAAAATAAAATAAATTCATAATTATAATAAAGGTCAATCAAATGGACCAATATGGCAAGGCCATGATGATCCACTTGGTAAAATAAATCCACTTGGCATCTTTCTTGGCCTTAAGACAACAATTCTGATGGCTAAAGATCCAAATGGGACAAAAAAAAAAAAAAAAAAAAAAAAAAAAAGAACAAAAGAACAAAACTAAATGTCAAGGAAACACAATTCAGATGTTTATATTCCAGCACATTTGCCTGACTTTCCTGGACTCTGACAGCAGGGACTATAATCCTCTAGGGAAATTAAGCAAAATCCGTATTATTACAGCAGCAGAACGTGTTGAGTTTCCAGATTCAAACAGCCTGTATCTAAGTCTTCCCACACCATATTCCTTAGTTTATCCTCCACTGTGTTATGATGTATTTGGAAACGTATTACACTCATTGACACATGTGTCATATATTATCACATATTTTCGTTAATCGGACCAGGTTTGGGCTTTAAGCTGAGTTGAAGATTTTGGGAAGGGTTTAGTGCCCTCAGCAGACATATTTTTAGCAACTTTAAACTAAAAAAGCAATATAATCCATAATGTTACCACATGAGCCTGTTTGAATTCATGTCTTTATTCAGCACCTCCAAGTTTGAAAAAGTCCTAAAAAATGGAAGCAGTCGAAATACCTTGAGGGACAAGACTTTGATAGGAGAGTAAGGTCCGTTTAAAAGCCACCTTAACGTCAGGGTGAAGACGAGGCCAACCACAGAGAAGGGGTGAAAACTGTCTCCCTTGGACACTGAATGTTACAATTTTATACCCCTACTGGCAGTATTCCAAATGCGTGGGGGTAACAAAGAGGGCGGCTATGGCTTAAGTGCAAAAGCTGTCCGAAAACACATAAAAGTAGAAAGAGTCAGGGGACAGAGATTGCTGTTCATTGAAGCTAGTAGAATGTTAATGTTCCTCTTCAACCTGCCATCTGTCCCTGTGCTTCTGAATTTCTTTAAATACTGCTGTGCCATCATGAATGATTCACATGTAAGCAAAAGAGAAAGGCCACAGTTAGAAACCTATAGTACTAGAAATACACTCATTAGTGGCTTAATTAATTCATTCTTGGACCCTAGAAGCAGCAGAGGCTTATTCTTATAAACCCTTTGTGCATATTAAAACACACAAGACTTAATGGCAGCTGCGTTTTGTGCTGGTAGGGTTTTAAATCTCCCTTTGAAAATGAGTGCTGGATGACAAAAATCAAGCTATTTTGCCCATTTAAAAAAAATAACCATTTTGCTAGTATTTTGGTAAGAGATTTAACGAACGCCTGTTTTAATGTGCTTTTTACATACACCTGGAACAAAATAACTTTGTTATTTCAAAAGCTTGAAAGCTTTTTGGCATGGGGTATTCCTGTTTTTTGTGCCTAACCGTTAACCCCAGTAAAACATGTGCACCACTGTGCTACAGCCCCACAGGGAAAACACTGACTCCCTTCTGACTTTCATCTCTCACACGGGGGAGCTCTGTCCTGTGTCCCTTACAGATGATCCCAAGTGTAGGCTTGATTAAATCACACGCTTATGTGAATGTAAATTATGCTTTAGAGAAATGGATCAGTGGCCCCTGCTAGCATATCTCAGACACATAGTCATAGTAATTATGTAAAGAGGCCAAAGAGAAGTATGAATGAAAAATACAATATGGGAGAGGGCCGAGCCGTGCTGGCGTTGAGGCAACTCTGCCTCTGGAAGGGAGCTTTCACTTCCAGCTGCAATACCACAAGCAGCTCAGCTCTGTTATGATACATATTCTAGTGTCCCACATACATTATGACAGGGAAGAAAAATGACTTGCTCACTTCTCCACTTTTACTGACCCTTCCACCCTCGATACCCAGACACAGTGAAAAGGAGTGTCAACTTCAATCTGACCATATCCGGGAATACCATTAAAAGATAAGACAACCACAATTAAGTTGCATATCCCTGCTTCCTATTCTCCCCACAGCTCTGGATATATGCGTACCAATCCTATTTTAAGCCACTCAACATCTGTATTCACAGAGTATCACTTTATCAGGAGTATAAAACTTTGCATGATATGTGAATAAGTCAGCATTCCCACTTTTCAGATCGGTGCTCGGAAAAATATATTTTAATAAGGTGGGCAGTGGATGACCACATAATCAATCCTGCCTTCAGTGGTAGGGCTGTAGGCGAGACAAGCAGATCATCTTCCAGCCCACTGAAGAAAGGGGTCCCACAACCTTTGCCCGTGGGAGGAACTGCATTATATTTTTCTCTTTCCATTTCATTTGATTTCATATGTTCCATGGAGCTATTTACTCTGAGTCTGTGTCACTTCCATATTTATTTTTAAACCTCTGGGCCTTGGTGCAGACACTGGCTGACCTTTATTTAAATGTCTCCTCCACTCTGAGCAGATCTCATTACAGCAGAGCTGGTGGCTTTGCACTATCTATCTCATTTCAAAACTTTTTCTCTGTGCACTTGCGGCGATCCTTGGCTATTCCGCAACGCTAATTACCAGAGCCTAGTAATGATGTTCCTCTCAGCTGAAGATATGTGTCCCACCATCCAAGATCCTGCCTATATGCATTAACCAGAACTCCCTCTGGATTCTCACAGTTCCTTGAGCAGTTAACATCTCATCTCTGCTTTCTCCTCTATCTCTCTCACTATCATTGTGCCTCCCACGTGATCTAGGCGACACATTGGAGTACTGCATCATCCACCGGGCCAATATGTGAAGAGTTTAATGAATCATCCAACATTTTAATGAAGGCCCTGAGAAGGCTTGAAAATGCTTGAGAGCACCACTGGTTAACATCCATTATTCAGTAAGCCCTTGGATTATGTATGTAGTAGGCAAACATAGTCCAAAAACTAAAATATCAAAATAGACGACATAATATCATGACTTTATTTTATTTTTTGTGGGGGATAAAAGCTGCCACTGCTCTAAGATTAATATTTCATATTTCCTAATGAAAGCAAGGCAGCCCTAAAACATTCTTTTATCCAACCTTGAGGACTCAACACAGAATTTGAAGAGGTCATCACCCATGAAATGTGAGAATATACACTGGTGTTGCATGTGCACAGCCACCTCTCCATTTCCCCCACCTTCTCTCTTGGCCTCCTCGCAGCTCTCCTTGATCTTCCTGCGGCAGACAGCAGCCAGGGCAATGAGCAGCACCAGCAGACATATAGCCAGGCCAACAGTTACCCACAGAGCCACCGGAGGGAACGCAATGTTCTGACCTGAAGCAGAAAGGGCAGAGGGAGAAAGAGCCTCATTATTCACTCTTGCAGTGCTAAAATAAGAGTGCAACTGTCACTGCTGTATCCATCACCATTATCGTGCTATTTGACAATTTTGCTGTTAGAGTTCCTTGCCATAAAGAATCTGAATTACCAAGCCTGCAGAAGTACTAAAGCAAAACATGATGACACAGATGATGATTATTGCCATCATCATCATCATCATCAACACTGTCACATTGACTCCATATTAGGTTTGACTTTCAGAAACACTGGGACTGTCAGAGAAAATAGATATTACTGGGAAAATTTGCTTGATGTGAACAGTAAGAGCTTCTTTACTACTGTCCAATTAAGACACTTGAGCCTTTCAATTGAACCCAGATGGCAGATAGTTTACCAGTCACACAAGACTGTGTTGTCGTTTCAAACAGCACTGGCACCGCTTTCAGAGGTTGCTGGCACTAACTATCCCACTCCCTACCTTCTGCTACACATTGGTCAGATGTGACAAGTTTTGATGATTTTAATACTCTATAACTTCCTGATGTACCCAGTCAATGACTAGTTCTGAGTTTTGAGATGTACAACAAGCCAGAAGACTCTCAATTGTAGTTGCCAAAATTTAGTTAATGTTTGTTTTGTTGGTGTTTTTTGCTATACATATGCCCATACGTTAAATACAGGTTTCTAACCATAAAATGCTTTCACTTCACATCACTTTTCAGAAATTATCCATCAAAATTGGTGACAGTATCCTGGCTAACTGGAAACTGATGAGGACAAATAAAAAACTGGTTAACGGGACAACAAAAAGATATCAGACACAGCCAAATTTCCCTGGGGTATTCAAACTGAACAGAGGGAGAAGGAAACAGCAGAGCCACTAAATAGCTGCGAGCCTGGCTGTAGCACAAACAAGCCTCCTTCAGAGAATGCCCACTCGGGGCTAAAAAAAAATTAAAAAAAAAAGAAAGAAAACAAATGCTGAAAAAATGACTGGCATTGGACAAACGCAATGGTGAAGCATGTGTAAAGACTTGGCATCAGAAATGAAGACAGGCAAGCTAAAATATAAACCAGCCAAGATGGAAGGCTAATACCGGCATTTAATCTCCGAAGGAAATCCATTAAAAAAAGTAAACACCACAACAAAACAAAACAAAAAAACATTATCCTGTAAAACAAGTGTACTTGATATTAAAAATAGATTTATTTGATATAGCAACATTATTTAGTCAGTTTGTTGGCTTACCATATTATTAGATGGAGTGGTGTGGCATTTATTGTACAAACATGACTCCTAATGACTTCAGGAAAGATGGCAGTTAACGTTTTACAACACTAACTGGAGAGATTTCTTTAAGTCTGTACACATATTCATCCTTTAACTCTTTTGTGAATGCCACGATCACATCAAATTCTCAGTTTGTACAACATTTTGGTTTATTGACAAAAAAAACCCTGCAAAATGACTATTCACCTTCACTGTGAACACATTAGCACGCTGATGTTAGCATCTAACACGATGCACCGTTTGACTTACACCCTGCTTTGTTATTTCTGCTCGACGAAGATTCATGCTTTGATATCACTCTAAATTAAGAGAGCAGAATTGCATACAAAAACGTATGTTAAGATTATACTGTAATTTTAAGGTTGCCATGGCCTGTTTAGCTGTTTATATCCATTTCAAGAGTGTCTCTCAATACAAAAGGCATTATAAAGACTCCTTGGTGCTGCAACTGCAGAGCAGAATAAAGAACGAAATGTCAGAGAAAGGATAAAATCTGGAAAGTCAATCTTGTCATTATGATGAAGCTGTGTAAGCCTCCCCAGGCTAGCCATGAGTGATGATGCTGTGGACTGCTGTCCACTGAGCCCTTCGCTCTGCTATATTTAAAGAATGACCATCTGAAAGCCACTTCGTACCAGGAACGAACACATGTATGAAAGAACTAATCGTACAAGAGCTGTTCACGTGTCGTGATTGCAAAAAAAGGTAACAAATATGTCTAGCTTTTTGTGGCGAGTAAAGAAGGTGCAGTGCTCTTTGTTTCCATGGTCTCTCATTCTCTTTTTATTCTCATACCTTCCCCACCATGCTTTTCCTCCCTCTAGGCAGGCTGATAAAGACAAATGCCATAGTCGGCTATCATTGCAACGCTGGGGCCCAAAGGGCTGCAGGATCATATTTTTCTTTTTCTCTTGTTTGATGATGTGATTTTGTTTTCTTCAGAAATAGATTTGTCTCTAATGGCTCTGTTTACCTATCCTCTCTTTCCCCTTTTTCCCTACTCCCTCTGTGCAAGGGTAAGGATGGAGTGCTCTGGGCTGCACTGTCACATTACCTGGAGCCTGCAGACAGAGGACAAACTTAACTGATACACTTGGCATTTTCTCAATGCTGTTAATGTGTAGCACTAATCAGAATACACACTTAAAATGTTGTCTGTTAGAAAAATCAATTATAAATTTCAAGCCAACTTTGTACTCAACACTGTTGGAAGTGTAATGTGTGCCTAACATTAAGCTGATTTGATTTGATAGAGACAGACAATGATAATAACAGACCTAAATGCCAAACTCTCATCAGGGTTCCTTGTCTGTATTTATTATCCTTCCATGTTTGCTGATGCCAACACAAAGTGTTGTGTTACCAGTAAACATGAAATGAATATTATGTGCACTGTGGGCACAAATGAAATCATGCTATCTACAGAGTAGATCTTTTTTTGTTGTCATATTGGCACATAAAGAACTGGAAGCACAGTAACGATCTAGATACTTTTAGCGTATTTAAACTTTACAGCATTTATGAATTTAGTCTTGCGTAACAGTAATATATTTTATCCTGAAATAATATTTGGTCTTCTAAAAATTACATTTAGTATACTTCATATATGAAAGAAGATCAACAGAAATCTCAATTTGAATTCTGAGGAATTTTCTTGCTTGTGGCATGTGATTCCAAACAAGCAGCCTCTGGTTACTCGTTTATTAGATATTTCTGTCTTGTGATGTGGCCACTAAGAAGGGACATAATCCACAGCTCATGTAGAGATCACATATTTTGTGTACATTACTGATAAACAGATTGTGAGGACATGGCAGTAGTAACACCAGTGTAATATCATAGCTTACTGATTATGTTGTGACTTTACTCAAAGTGTTGGTGTGACGCTATATATATGTAAAATATAAGGTAGAGATGGCACGATACCACTTTTTTATGTCCGATACCGATATCATAAATTTGGCTATCGGCCGAAACCGATATGAATCCGATATAGTGTGTTTTTTAATCAATAAAACTGTTTTTTTAATATCTTGCTGCTTTTTGTATAAGTTCATACTCAAGTTAAAAAAAACAAAAAAACCCCACTAAAGCTATTCTTTTATACCTGTATGCAAAAAATGCACTGCACCCAGAATATTTCATAGTTCAGCAATACTGATCAATCTAATAATCTTAAACCTACTCCATCCCCCCTATTCTGGTATTTTAAAGAGTAAGCAACCTAACTAATAGGCCTCTAAAACTCCCAGCAAAAAAAAAAAAAATAGGGAACCACCCTCCACCTCATGATGCTTAATCGACGTAATCAACTTTAATTTGATGCAGTGTGAAAAAATGCACAGAAATAAATTATTTTTCAAGAATAATTAAATAGATTCAACATCTTTCTTCAACAGAACTGCAGACTGCACAGATGGTCTTCCCAAAGGAAAAAGTACTATAGCTTACTAGGGTATATTAGACTTAACAGTTACTATATACAGTAATGGACTTCTATACATTTTACATCAGATTAAAACTTTGGGTGTAAGATTCAGATAATTATTTATTAAAAGCTAGACATTTTAAATGAGAATAAGAAAGAAAAGTATGTCTTTGTGGTGCTTTTTTAATATTTAATGGATCGGATTACATTTTTTATTTTTCTCCGATATCCGATCCAGTAATTTACGTCAGTATCGGACCGATACCGATAGTAATATCGGATCGGTCCATCTCTATTAGAGATGTGAATATTACTGCAGATGTTACTGTCAAAGTTGCTGTGACTCAAACATAGAAACATTTGGTTTTTTATTTCCCTCACCTAATTTATTTTAAAGTATTTTATAGCATATAAAACCTTTGAAAATATGCTTCGGTTCACATTTAACTCCAGAAAATCATAAATCAAAATATGGATATTACCTGTCCACAGATTCATGGTGCAGTAACTGCTCTTTTAACTGTCTGGTGTCTTTGCTTTGTTTGGTGTTTGTAGACATGGTTTACATGAGTTTTTAGCTGAGATTCAGAGGTTTCTGTGGACACTACTCATGTCAGCACTTATATTTCTGACCTCGTGTTATAATCGATTAAACGTGGTCTCCTCCCTTTTGCCCCCATTTTTGATGTTGTGGGTGCAAATGATCAGGCATGACATTCTCATAATAAATCAGATAAGATACTGCAAATAATTAATCCTGCATTTGTGTGATTGAAATGTGTGTGCAATGACACTGTTTTAAAGATTTAGCCTAAATCATTTTGGCGTGAATGAGCCTAAACATGATGACCGGACTAGTGACACCATATCACCTGTGACACTCACACACGCACGTATGACTTTGCCAGTTTCAGCTGAAACAATTTCAGTGTTTCAAACCATGTTCCAGAGTTTTTAGTTCACCGTTCATGAGGTTTCAAGAAGAAAATGAAAGACAGATCTGAATGTTTGAAAGTGTTTTGGAAAAACTCTGTAAAGAATAGATGAACAATACTCAAAGGATAAATTCAACTGTTTTATTTTGTTAGATAAGTTGAAAAAAAGTTAAACAAGCAAGTAAATAAAGAAACAAGGTAAAACGAAGTAAGAGCAAAAAGTTAACAAGTAAATAACGAAACAAGGTTAAATGAGGTAAGAGCAAAAAGTTAACAAGTAAATAACGAAACAAGGTAGAGGAGAGAAAACCCCAACAATCCCCTCTGAGCACGCACTAGG